TTGGGATACAAAGTATTTTTTTAAATCTGAATTTTGCCAATAACTGATAACCCCCTCAGAGACCACAAGCCACATAACTGTTTTAATTTTGTCAATATTAAATTGAAATTTCCAGAAATGACATATTACTTGGTAAAATTGTGGCCGAGCTCGGTTGAATATAGAAATCAACGTGTTGCTAGCTTTTTCTCTGTGAACGAGCTTACTGACCATCGTACAAGTAAAAATTTCAGCAAAGTAGTTTTGATTTATTGCATGATGATAACAAAGGAATTTATCATCAAAATAAACTCCGCACATATAGGCAACTCAAAAAGACACCTCCTTTGAAAAATATCTGGCAAATATCTTGTAAAAATCCATACCACAGATCAGCCATGACAAAACTCAGAACTAGTGCACACACTCTTAAGATTGAGACTGGAAGGCATACAAATATAAGCGTAGCAGAAAGAAAATGCCCAGTTTTAAACACTCAACAAATTGTGGATGAATTGTAAAAAAACATAAAAACACTTCTCAATCAAACCTTAGATAACCAGACGATAACACGTCACAAAAAGTACCCGGATGTTACCTAAATGTGTGCGTTGTTTATCAACTCAAATAATTTCTTTCATGCCTATTGATAATATCTCTGTCTTAGTAGCTTATATAAGGATAACATATCTTAAACTTTTAATTTAAATCAGTATGTTTATTAGTAAGTAAAAAAACACAAATAAGTAACGCCTTGACTCACACTTTAACTAACGGCAAGCAATTTAGATTTCACTTTAGCCGTGATTTTCAAAGCTTTACCACATGTAGTGACATTTGGTTATTAAAAATAAGATTTTGAAATGAACGACTAAAATAAAAAAAACACTCTCATGTTTAGAAAACACTTCCGTGTCACTACAGTCACGCTATTATTCTACGAAACGGGAGTCAACGCAGCTAACATAGCCCATTCTTCCATAAAACGTATAAGAGATGTTTTATGTTATTCCGTTTAATTCTGATAAAACCTGTAAACGTTATGTGAATGAGCTTCTGGCCACATAATTAAATCATTTTTACTGCGGCACAAAGTATATGTATGGTGTAACTTTTCCTGTATCACATTGTCCCAAATGTATTATATAACTGGACACATATGTTGATTGACGTTGATTGTGTCTGTTCAGTATGTGGAATGCAATGCGGATAAAGTTACGTCTATATGTTACCAACAGACACATTTAAAGTGCCTTACATTAATAAGGCCACACTGATTTAATTTTATGGATGACATCCTCTGGAGACCCCAAAACTAATGCGAGAGGGCGAAAAAAAAAATCCTGCCAAAAAAAAAAAAAATCCTGCTAAAACCACAGGACTACGGAGCTGCTATTACGAATTGAACCACAGAACACAATGTATCAAAAAACAACAAGAAGTCTTTATTTGTACGAGGCACATGTTGATATACACATCTCGTACTGTATTACTGTCACAGGTATAACCATTTCAGACAAGCTCTAGTACATGTAGTCATGATGAAGTACCTTCAGTCAAAAACACTGCATGCAAGGTACAACATGGACATCATTTTCAGTACAAGTCAAGGCGTAATGTACATATCACTACTTTATGACAATAACTAACAAAACATTGCAATGATAGAGAAATGTCCTTGCTTGCTCCTCTCTACACAGTAGGGGTTAGCTTTAACCAATCTCTCGTATAGCTGTGTAAACGTCATATCTCCCTGGCCGACGTCAATTGCGTACCAGTCTACAACAATCCCTCAGTTTTTCCTCTGAACTGTTATGCTCACGTATTCCCGGCAACGCAATACGCATATGCAGAAGATCATTTACGACAAATTGGCACGTTTTTAGATACCGTAGTCCAAAAAGAGTTTTATGACAAGCCGGCGCTTTGCGACAATATGAGTCAGCAAGTTCCGGACAGAAAACCGATCTGTAGAGACTCGTCGTCGTAGATTTTTTTTTTGTTGAGAAAAGGCGAAAACTAATGCGCGCGTGGATGTCATCCATAAAATTAAGTCGGTGTGGCCTAATAACGGGTTTTATTGTAAATTTGTAATTGCTGCATTGCATAGAAAACTATCACAATATTTGAAAAGTGATTTAATTCAAGCACGCACTGAATACGTCGTGCAATTTACTTCCAGGGAAACGTGATATAGGGTAGAAAAAAAGTATTATCAAGGTACGGTTACCCATTTGCCTCCCCTCAGATTTTAGGATCAGAGTACAGGGTACATAGGATAAGAGTTTCCCTGTCATGCCACACGTCAGTCAGTCGCACACTCAAGTAATGTTGTTTATGTTAAATACAGGATTACCCGAATTGATGGTGTTGATACTATCGTGTGGCAGTGAAACTGCTCTACACGTTGTAAGTAAGTAAATTAAGTAAATAACTTTATTGATTCCGTATCCTTATTGGGATCTTGAAAATAATACAATGAAGTATGTTGTTTAAGTAAACAACAGCTAGCTAAAAAAGTAACAAACTAAAGTAAACAATTGGTAAATTAAATCAATAAGTACAACAGAACAACAATAAAACAATACAAGAAATGTAAAATTGAGTGATTATTTTTGGGAGCTGTTTTTTCATGGCAATATCTCTGGAGTTAAAGCAGTTAACAATTAATTTTGCATAATTAGTGATTTCTTTGTTGTCGGTTGAGGTGAGAATTGTTATCATGATTTCATGATGTTCAGTAAACAGTTGAATTCTCTACTCCTGGTGCAGTTTGCATTTTAGTAGAAAGTGTTTCTCGTCTTCTACTTCACCAAGACCACCCCATTTCTATCTGTAAGGTATGGGCATACGTAGTTTTGTTAGGGCTGACCTAAGGTTGGGATTTGTAACTATTGTTAAATATTTTTCATAGGTGTAATCCTTTTTTAGCAATATGTAGGTTCTAAGTTTGTTTTTATGATTTTTAGATTTATTGTCATACATGTTGTTTTCTGTGACTGTTATAAAACGAAATTGGATGAAGTAGACTGTAATTGCTGTTATATTTACATTTTATCCATGAGTCACTACGGTCTAGAAAGTTCAGAATGGTTTTTATTCCTGTTACCCAATTTTGTACGCATGCATCATCTAGCTGTATGGACTAATGTATTGTGGTCCACGTCGTTTAATCTCAATCCAATATTTCAGTATTTGCCTTATATTTGAGATGGCAAGTGGAAGCCTACCAAGCTTAAGCAAGCATGCTAAGTTTGTTGCTTTGCTGTTGACTTTTAATAAGGACATGTTGAATTTAATATGTAATTTTTCCATGGGTGATTTGAGTTTTGTCAAGAAGCTTTCTTTGTTAATAATGCAATTGGACCAAATTTCACTACAGTACATCAGCATTGGTTTGAAAACCATAATTTTGAATTCATTGATATTATTGTCTAATTTCCATTTTTGGCAGTATACCTCCATAGACTGAATGGTATTTTTAAGCCTGGTTTTGTCTCTGAGAGAAGCAGAAGATCATCTGCAAACATCAGACATGGTAGACTTATGTTGAGAAAAGTTTGTGGTTGTTTATGCGATTTTTTATGTCATTAACATGAATACTGAACAACACTGGACTCAATCCATCACCCTCTCTGATGCCTCTTTGAATTGGAAGGGTGTTTATTATATTTATCTTTACTGCAGCTAACGAGTTTTATTTTAGGTAGATTTAATTATTTTATAGAATTTACCTATACTTGGTGAGAGGGTAACACATATTTTACCTGAAATCTGAAATATTCTCCTTCTCGTCTTTTAGCAGACGCCAGGTGAACTCATAAGCCAACTAATAAATAAATGACTATGGAGTCTGCAGGCATAATGTGGTAAATAGTTGTGTAACGTATTCAGTTGGAATACTTGGTATGAGGCAGAAATAATCAACATAACGTTTCACGTTACACCCTTTGGGCGTTTTGATGTTTAACAATCCAGCGCGATGCACGCGGTATTAATCATTTTATCGGTGATTTTCCATTAAAAACTTGTGAATAGATTTCGTCAACAAATCCAGTAAGTAAATGCCCTCCAACATCTCTATTGTTCAACTCCATATTTTTTCTATAATGTCAACGTCATTCACAGTGATTCAGACAATAAAATGGCGAGTCCAGATAGTATGACCAAAAAAACAACGCTTGTATGCATAAGTAATTTGTTGCAATAATTTCCAGGGTGACGATTTAACATTGATTAGTTATTATTTCCACGTCACGTCATATAAATCAGTCGTTACTGTGACTGTTACTGTGACGTTACTGTCTTTATTTACTTGAAGATCGGTTTCTCAAATAAAATTGTATTATTAAACTAACTGTAATTGCCATAAACTGTTCCACAACAACCGTCAAATTTCAAATAACGAAATTTTACAGCCGTAGAAAAAATCACCCTTATGACAAGTTACAACGCAATTTTACAACGCGTTGTAATACCCCCCCCCCCATCCTTAGGGTACAGGCTTACAGTTTTTTTTATTCTTACGATAATCAATCCTATATTCAATTTAAGACTGTCGAGGAGGTATTGTCAGTTATATAAAGAAATTTTTATTTAGCTTTGTAAATTGAACATTTTTGACCAATGTTATACTACAATTGCATATTGTTAAAAATTGTTTAATCTATTTACTTTTTCTAGTTTAATTTGATATCCCATTCTTTAAATAATAATATAATTTTGTTGATTCACAATAAACATGAATTTGTCATGCAGCATTTTTCTCATTTTTATAGGTGATCGTGTAGGTGAAAAACATTATAGGTAAGGCACCCGCTAATAAAGTCATGGCCAACAATTTAATACCTGAGGATGAACTATTATTCTTGCCCAAATGTTCACACCTTATGGTGTGGGTGTTAATCACACATACATGAAAAATAGTGATGGTGCAAGGACACTATAAAATGTATTTTTATCTCAACTCGAGTAACTTTTTATTGATCCTTTCCACATATACAAGTCTCAGGTAAGTTAGTTTAATTTGTGATAAGAGTCACATACATTTTACGTTCACCAGTATACCCTATTCTACCATGTTGAGAATAAATATTATCATAAACTAACACCTCTCCTTTTTCCATTTGAAAACCTACTGTCGATTGCCACATGACGTCACGGATATGTCGTAGAGTCTCAGTTTCAATTTCGCTACCGTCGCCATAGTAACAAGTGTAGGGAAGTTTGTCATCTGGAATATCCATGCCAGCATAGCATGGGTGATCTCTGAAGAAGGATGCATGACCTAACGATGCTGAATTGAACCAGACCCTTTCTTCTGTCGGGAGAATGTTGAAGTTAGGAAGTAAGCAATTCTGAATATAATCACTAAATCATATATAAACATAAACTGCCTGTATGTTTAGACAGTAACAGAATGATTTATTAATATAAAACCACGTTCTAAATACCACTATAATTTATATTATTGCGTTCTAAGACTGCTATCATGTAAGAAAAAAACCATTGTGAAATCGGATGTATCAAACACAGACTGTTTTTTATGTAAACCTTTTTTTGAAACTCACTATGCATTAACATTCCATTAAAATTATTTCTTAAAAATAGCAGTAAAATGACAAGAACAGTATTGCCAATGTGTGCTATAATTCACATTTATAATGAATGTTTTGATGTTGAAGGCAGATAATAAAAATATGATTTATCGATGTCGAAGAAAGATCTGTTGGAATAAATTTTGGCTAATAAACGGCACATTTTTTTTTTTTTAAAAACGGGTAATTGGCAATTTTTGAAACGTAAGCTGAATATGGAATGGTTACCGTGGTCTATCGAATTCACAATATGTTTTGTCAATATCCAAACTTTATTAATTAATTCAATTGCCGTTATTCGGAAAATTTCAAACAATAATTAGGTTTTATGACTAGTCAATCAAATTTGGGAAAATTTTTAGGGGATGGGCGCTTGGCGGAACGTGAACGCGAAAATGGAAATACATGTATCACACATGTGAATAGTAGTGGAATGGGGCGAGCTTGGGCGCCGGGTCGGGATACGGTAATTATATTTATCCACCACTGTTTACATTAAAATTGTTGTGTTTTTATCTTACTTGTTTTGGGATGTGTTCTGAAAGCGGGCAGTGTTGACCAATAATATAATGATCCATCATTCTCCCATGTGTGCCCATATCCACGATCTTCCATGAACTTCTGTATTATAACCTTGTCAGTTGTACCAAACACCTGATTAAGTATGAATAATAATTGATTCATGACAATTACAAATCATTTTTTTTCATATACCATGAGTAATGTTATTGCAATATCAATTTTCAGAACAATTGTCAAAACGTGTTTTAGTATACCTGACATAGACTTCAAAATGTACATCTTGGCGCTATATTCTGGGATGGCAAGTCATTGCATTAATCAAAACTATACCATGAAATTGTGTGTTCCCATATCAATATAAAAATATCGTATTCCTTGTTTAACCTATTGCACTTAGTTAATGGTAGAATAAACCGAACAGTGTGATAATAGGAAGTATATGTAAAGCTATATGGATGACCACCTCATTATACATATTAAAAGAGTCGTTTTTGGAGAAGACACTTTTTCTTCGTTCAAATAAACGGACACTGCTGATACTGAGCAAGTGCATATAGCATGTGACCTCCAACTCTATATAAAGGCCACTGATTGGTAGATTGAGACAATAACTCTGTGTATAAACTTTTTCTGATGCTGCACATGGGTGCTTTTCCGTTTGCCATTTCTGGGGAAGATAGGTGTCTGTTCTTGGAGAACTGACCATGTATCTGCGTACTGAAGAATACCTAGAAGAACACCACTGGATATTCCCAATTCGGGCTGGGATTTATTATAATTATTTATATTTATTATACTATCTTTATTACATTACGTTTTCAGATGTCAGGTATTATTTTGATAGTTAGTGTTTGATTGATTTTACATATGCATCTGTGTATGAACTGGTCTCTGTAACAAACTCTCGAAACACTCCATTGTACATTGTGAGACGCCCATTAATGTATTGAAGTTCTGTTATGTTATGTGCTTGGTCATGTCTTGATCTCAGTCATACAAATCCAAATGTCCAAAACAAGGAGAGGATATGTCACAGGTGAAAGTAAACGATTGTCAAAGCCACTTTTGAGTCAGAGGAAATATATGTCACGGCATTTGTAGACCAGTTTGTCTGAATGATGGTCAGGTCCTAAGATATTGGTACCGGGGGGTCGCAGTGGCGATCGTGTGAGACTTCAAAAAATATGTTCACTCTATCATCTGTGCCTGGTTTAGACATTATTTGGTGGGAGATGGATGGATTCTCCTGGCGTACCTCACCAACTATCTTTTGGATGTCATCAGAAGGTTTTATTTCTAAAGAAAGATGTATTACTAGCTTTATTCATGGTGCAAAATCCAAGTGACCAACCAAAAGTTGCAGCCTCTGGTGAGGTCAACTACTTTGTAAAAATATATATAGTATTGTTGACATGTTTTCATCAACAGTTGTTTATGTTCTCGCAAGTGTCAATAACTTGAGACGTCACACCCGCCATATGTGTGCCTCCATATTTGATTTACTGTTGAAATTTGTTAGACTCATTGAGTACCGAAAAGCAAAAGTCGTGGAGTTTGTACAGGAATACTGTACAACCAGTTTCACCGTCTCATCTGTGCATGTTTAGTAGGAATACGAGCTACCTACGCTACCTTGAGTGTTTACCGTAGAATCACTGAACAATTAAAACAGTGCATGTAAAATGTAAAATTGTTGAGATGACTTTATATTTCTTAGACAACATAACAATTTCTTTCACAAATAAAATCCAGTGTTAGCAACTACAAACATTTCTAAGTTTTGACTTTGTGAACAAATCTGAAATGATATTTGCAAATTTAAATATCAATAAGTTCTGATTGCATATGAACATAACTTAAATCGCATTGTCGGTGTGAGTGTGATTTCCTGTGGATTTTATGTGTATTATTAATAAACTGAGTAATATTTCTTACATTTTGTATACTTTTATACTTTCCTGAGCTAGAGATATAAAGTCGATATTGAATTCCAAGTCTGTCAAATTTGTCTACAATTTCCGGATCAAGCTTTGATAACGTTTCTCTCACATCACATATTACACTTTCTCCTCCATTTCCTTGTTCAGGTGGAACATCACAGAAGAAAATAATCTGCAAATGAAATACTTATATATTTATCTCCAGTCTTAACACAGAAACAGTTCGTGATTACATTAGATACCTTGATAATTCAAGTCATGCATATTTAATTCAATTCAAATTCTCTTTACACAATATCTACTGACGTTGTTTGTGTATGTACTAATAATATAATTTTATAAATGCAATACAGAACATTTCATCTCTATTTTATTTATCAAAAATAGATCTTTGCCGTTTAGTAGGTTGCGCCAATTCCAAAAATACTTACATAGGCGCTCAGAAATATTACCCCACATTTTAGGGATACGTCTTAGCCAAAACATTGTCAATCACTGTTCAAATATTTAATCAAAACATTGTCAAACACTGCTCAAATATTTAGTCACAACATTGCCAAACACTGTTCAAATATTTAGTCAAAACATTGTCAAACACTGTTCAAATATTTAGTCAAAACATTGTCAAACACTGCTCAAATATATAGTCAAAAC